ACTACGGGGAACCATGCAAAAAACGCATCTTCGCACGGGCAGCCCGTGCGTTGGCCAATTTTCTTTGTACTGTTGCGTTGTCTTTTCCTTTTTACTGCTGTCCTCCAGTTCTCACCTCGAATTTCTGACTAGTATCCTTTTCTCTCTCCTCCATTCCGTTCCCAAATCCTGTCTCCGGAGCGGCATTTGGGCACCCATCACCCCCAACCACTGTCACCATTTATCGTTCCGAATTCCTGACTGGTACCCTCGTTCTTCCCCTTTATCCTATCCTCAACCCGTCCCCCACCCCTCGAGTTGTACCTGGGCACCTACCAACCAACACCCCCGCCCCTCCCCCCGGCACGTCCAACCGCTCACCCGCAACCCCAACGTACACGACCGAGGCACCGAATACCGGACAGCACACCATCCAATGCTTGTAGCAAAATGTGAACCGGTACCGACGAGCAACACTGTGAAGTGGTGTTAGCAGAGAGGCTTGAGGAATAGCCGGGCCGAGCTATAGCAGTTGCCTCGGAAAAAGCGTTGCAGTGGCGCACCACAGCGATCATTCGATGATCCGACTGGACAGTGCTGGTCACTCGGTACGGCGGCGCAGGGCGTGGCACCGTGCTTGCATCGACTACTTCGTTCTTCGCTTACTTGTTTGCCTCCCGGGGAGTTGATAAATACAGCAACGCGTACCCGAGTAGCTGATGCGATTATGTGTTTTCTGCTGTTCTGCCTGACGAACATTTGCTGTTAAAAATGTTCACTGCTTTGCGTGCGCTGAAATTATTGGAATATTCTATTCGACTAAAACTACATCTTTACGTGCATGGGATCTAAGCATACGTTGAACGCCAGTCACAAATTTCTGTAGGTGCTCGAAAAACACCCTTTTAAAATTTCCCGCTTTCTGCTTTGTCTGGTTCGGAGTCCTGTCCTACTTCACACATTCATAAATGATGGCCGTAAGTGTATGTGAAAGCTAAATCTAAAATTTCCTGTATTGCTTATGGGTACAAAACATCCTCCGCAATTTCAGCTTCTTTGTTGCTCCGAGTAATTTTGCCGCCAAAATTTTAAGTACTTGTACGCGAGACTTGGAAGTACGCGAAAGCTGCACTTAAATTTGTGGGACCGTGTACGGACAGCGTTCTTTCAGCTTCATTAGGTCTTCATACTAGTGATTTTAATACCATAATTTCGTGTGTAGGTACAGGAGACCTGGATCACATGGAAGATGAATTTATGTTTGTGGGATCACCCACGAGTAGGCAATATTCTCCCAAAATTTAAGCTTCCTAGCTTTTGTGGTTCCTGAGTTAGTAGATTCTGCGCCAGATTTTCAAAAGTTTATGCGAGAAATAGGTACATGTGGAAGCTGGATTTAAATATTTTGATCGGGCGTGGACATAGAACATTTCATCTTCCTAGTTTTTCTGATCCCCCACTTGAAAACCGCGGATAAAACGCACTTGGAACACACGTACGCACAAAGACGAGGTTTCAGCAGTTTGCGTTTATGATCTGAGCCCATAAAAGTAAACGAAACACTTGTTTACGTTGAGCAGGCTTAGCTGGTCAGGTACTGAACTGAGTCAGAAGGACGAGTGCCTGGAAGTGATCCTCGGAGTGAAGCGGAGAAGCGTGGAGCATGAACTGCAAAGCGTGAGCCTCGAGCGGGAGGCATGCTCGGAGGATCGGTGATCTCGGGTGATTTTACGTTAAGAAAAAATGATGCGGCGTTGGGATGAACATCATTATGCACGTTTGTTGTACGCGTGGCAAATGTTTCATTGTCTGCACTTTTTTCTCCGTGTTTTTCAGGATCGGTCCAGAAATGGGGAGCACTGATGATCAGAAGGTATTGTTGGCGCTACGCGAGAAAATTACAGCTTTAAGTAATGAAATCCGATCCCTGAAGGAGCAAAAAACCGATCAGGAAGTGGTACGGTGTGCATGTTTGCCTTATGACTTTTGTTGTATCCCCGGGTTTTATTTTGAGCGCGGGTACATGCTCTTTGCTTTTTTGTGGTTTTCGTTGTGTCTGGATTCGGGCATGGAAATGCGGCCTGAACAATCCTTGAATTCGTCGGAGAATCCCTTTTCTTTCTCGTTTGTTGCTCTTGATTCCTTCGAGTAGAGACGCTCCCCTCTGACTTCCTTCCGTGAATCTTGCGAGGGATTAATTCGATGCGAGTGGGTTACTTCGAGCGAGCAAGAGCTGGAAAAAAAATCCTCAGGAGCATTGCAGTGGAACTTGTTGGCCGCATTATTGTCAAATACCTAAATTCTTGCTTATGGTACGTTTTTTATGGCCAAAAAAGAATTGGAAAGAATGTAAGGTAATCGAAAAAATCGAAATTTGCAAAACAACCAGAGCAATTTAGCTGTCACATAATTGTCCACATTTTATCGTTTTTATGCTTTTTGCGCTGTGCAACAACAGAACAAAACACATTCTTTATGCCTCTGTATGTGTGCATTTGTGTGTCCGAGAGCATTTTGTCCCGCATTTTCAACTTGGAGATCACAGAAGCTAGGAGGCTGAAATTTTAGCAGAATGTTTCTCGTCCACGTGCTGCTCTACAAATTTAAATTCAGCCTTCGCGTACTTCTGGCTACCAAGTACGACTCCATGAAAGTTTGGATGGAGAAAATCTTTATTTTCATGAAAGCTAAGAAGCTAAAATTTTGGGAGATGTTTCCTCCCCATATATGATCCAACAACTCGCAACTCAACTTTTGCCTACACCTGGATTTCTTATATGGCTTCGTGGAAGTTTTGGCAGGTAGAATTAGTATCTCGAGAACCAAAAGAACTGGGGGGTTTCCTGCTTGCGCAGAGGCTTCACAGACTCAAATTTACCTCTCAAGAATACCGAGGTCGCGCATATTACCACATGAAAGTTTTGGCGCAGAAGTTTCTAGGAAGCCACAGAACTCGAAGGTTGAAATTTTTCAAGGATGTTAGCCGTCCAGGGCTTCAAATTCAGCTTTTATCTACGCTTGCGTTTTACGTACCGCTGCGTGAAATTTCTGGTGAGGATTTTTCGCTGCTTAGAAGCCAAACAATCGACTATTTTTGCACTGACCAGAGTCTAAAACAGTTAAAATTCTTAGCAGGCAAACGTTAAAATTCTTAGCAAACGTCCACACTTTATAGAACTTCGCAAAACGCGTGCTCGCACTGCCTACACTGGTGCTTGCCGCTATTTATTTAATTTTTTCTACTCTGATTTTGTACTGGAAACACGAGCTTTCCCGGATTTTCCGCCACCCATAGTCTTGGTTTTACAAGTTATTTTTCGTTACAGCCTTTCGTATTTTCTCCACAGCCCGTGTTTTCCATATCTCAATATCATTTACTGTCTCAGCTTCGCAGATTTCATTTTTTCTAGGCCTCTGATTTCATCATTTCTGAACTGCTGGCTTTTCGGGTTTTATTTGCACTGGTTTTTTCCCAACTCCTTGACTTTTTTGTCACCCGGGTTTCCAGTTTTCCGCACTTTCCCTCCAAAGTGCCATTATTTGCATTTTCATCGCTGATCGCATTGTTTCATGCGTGATTGCTGCCGCGGGACGTGCTGTATTTCATTGCCGAAATGGTGTTCAAGGTACTGCATTCCGTGCTCCTGTGCATTATAGTTTTTTAGCTAGAATGAAAAGAGCATTCATTCAGTATGAAGAATTATCATTTGTGGACTAAAATGATTTCTTTTGTTACACGTCGCATGGTGTCAAATTTTGTCAGATTTTTTCCCACGTCGGCTGACGCAACTAAGGTACCATCATTTCGGCAATTTTTTGACCTAAATTTTTCAGTTCCAATTTTTTTTCAGTTAACGAAAAATAATTATTTCTACTTTGACTGTTTTTCTTGTGCCCCCTCATTTTGTCGCTGATAGTTTTGTGTGCAGTCATGTACGCCTCTCATTGTTCCTCAGAGACAGGCTAGTGACGTTTTCTGTGTCATATGCCAGTACTAGATGATCACCGGAATGAATGAATGGTTTTTCTAAAGGCAAGATTGGACCATGGACTCAAGCTTGAGTAGTAGCGAACCTGTAGTGATTTAGAACACACAGTCCTCTACTTCCATGTGTGGTAAATGTCGCTTCTGGAAGTTATTGCTTTATTGTTGAAGTTTACACCATTTTTTGTTCAGACTGAAGAAAGCCTGACACGGATGGTGGAGAGAGAGCACGTGGCAGGCGAGCTCAAAAAGAAATTTGAAATTCGATGTCCGAGAGGCATGATTTCTACTTGTTTTCTAAAGCTTTTCCCGATGCAAAATGGATGAAATTTTCTAATTTTTTGATTCTTTTGTATCTTTCCGATAAATGCGTTTTTTAAACAGTGTCGAAGAAATTGGGCTTGGGTACCTATAAAACAGTCAACTAGGTTTGGGAGGGGATTATTATCCGCAGATCCTGTGCAAAGCCATCAAGACCAGGGTGAGGGAAGGGGGATAAAGGAAGGAGAAGCTTTGCTTAAAACTATTGCAGAAGTGAGCGGAGCCTTGATGAATGCCATTACTATGCATAATTAAAACTGGTCGAGCTGCACCGAGACCCAGAGCGACTCTGTCTGACTCTGTCCTAACTCTCGGATTCACTCTGTCGCTTCAGTACGCTCCCCGAGTAGTCATTTTCGTGAGTACGACACGGGCGTCCATCCATTAACAACAACTTGCATCTTGCAAGCCTTGTATCGCATCATCATCGTCATTCACCATCAGCGTTACCAATAACAATAACAGCAGCAACAATAACAGCATCAGCACATTCAAATTTCATACATTGTTTGGTTTTCTCATCCGCGATGAATGGATTTGAGGCGGCCGTGCAGTAGCTCCTTCTGAACTCTAAAATTGTCCTACCAGCGTTATCTGTTAGTGAAAATGGAAATGACTATTCGTATGTGCAGCCTTGGCACTTGCATGGAACGGAAAATGGAAACGTGCGAATGACTTGCTGGGCCATGCTACTAGGCATCGCTAATAGCGGGTCCCCAAATGCACTGCATGCTCGGTCTCGATAATCCTTAAATATTGTTTAAACTTTTTCTCCAGGAACTCGAGATTACGGACCTCAGGATATGGCTTTGCGAAAACAGGTCCTGGAAGTTATTACGGATTGTTTCAAGCGACATGGAGCGGTAACGATCGATACGCCAGTCTTCGAACTGAGGGATATCCTGACCGGCAAATATGGTGAGGAGGGCAATAAGCTGATTTATGATTTGGCGGATCAAGGAGGTGAAATGCTCAGTCTGCGATACGATCTCACCGTTCGTGTTTTTTTCTTTTTTTTGAAAGTTGTTATTAGTATTGGAACGTTTCAGTCTTTCTGTAGAACGGAAGTGCACTCATTCAGCAGGCAAACCATAGATTACCGTCTGCTTCACCTAGCTCACATTCTTCGAATTCTGGCGTAATAGCAACTGGCACTCATGCTTCAGCGCCAGTTGAATTTTATATTCTTTGTGTGTATTTAGAATTTTATATTCTTTGTGTGCATCAACCTCATACAGTTATTTCGGGAGTGTAGTTGCACTTTTATATTCTCAGTGTCCGTCTGCTTATTGCGACAATTTTTATTTTCGCATGTGACATTCTCAAAACTTTAGTTTCTATCAGAACATTTTCCCCAGCTCTGCTTGCAAAACGAGTTTTCAGTGGTAAAAGACAAGTTCCCAAGTTTCTATCTGAAGCCACAGTTGCGACTGCGGGGAGAGGGGAAGGGAGGCGGAAATTGTGATTGCAAAAAAACATATAGCATTTTATTGGGAAGCTTGACAGTTTTGTCTTTGAAAAACCAGATATGAACTTGTGCTACAATTTCTGTATTTTTTAAACTGTTTGTTTAATTTGGCGAAGATTGCCATTTTTCAGTTGTCTAAGTAATTACGGGCTTTTATTTAATTGTTAGCAAAATGTTTTTATAAGTTTTTTGCAGCAGTGCAATGCGAAAAACGCATATTGACGAGAGGTTGTCTGTGTGTGTGTGTCTG